AACTTCAAGCCTAACAAAAATAATCTTTGCAGACGACACAAACTTATTTCTATCTTATGAAAATAATAATATTCTTTTAAACAACATGACAAATAATTTAAAAAAAGTTTCTGATTGATTCAAAATAAATAGGTTATCTCTCAACACTGCTAAAACTAAATGGACACTTTTTTATCCACTCTATAAAAAACATAGAATACCAAATTTGTTACCTGAACTATATATTGACAATGTAATGATAAAAAGAGAAAAAGTAACAAAATTTCTAGGAATCTATATTGATTAAAATTTAACTTGGAAACATCACATTAACATTACCTCTTCTAGATTTTCTAAATGCATCGATTATTCTTTATAAAGCTAGAAACAGACTAAATAAACGGTAGCTGACTCAATTGTTCTATTCATTTGTTCACTGTCATATAAATAATACAAATATTATATGGGGAAGCACTCAAAAGACAAAACTTAATACTCTTTTTAATCATCAGAAACACGCACCTCGCGGAATTAATTTTAAAAATCGTCTTACACACTCTGCATTACTTCTTAAAGATATGAAAGCTTTGAATGTTTATCAACTTAGTATTTTTAATTATTTATGCTTTATGTTCAAGTGTAAAGAAAATTTATCTACACAGGTATTTCAATATCTTTATTTTTTTAAACCGAAAAACAAATATAATTTACGAATTGACAACAATCTTAATGCTCCTTATCGAAAAAACTAAATACGACGAATTTTGTATGTCCTACTGTGGACCTCTTCTTTGGAACAAAACAGTTTTACCTAATTTTGACTTTTCAATCAAATTAAACTGCTCTTCATTCAAAACCAAAATTAAAGAAATTATCTTTTCAATTGAAAACATCTTTATCTATTTTAGAGTTTTTATCAATTTATTGCTGATATATTATACTTTATTGTATTATGTTTTACTATTTACGAATATTTCCATGAGCTCTTTGCAAACTTATGTATTTAATAGATTTTATGTTTGTATTTTATCGCTTTTTATTACTGTGTTTTGTAAAACTTTATATTGTTTTTGTTATTTAACAAATATATATAACTTCATTATAATATTACGTATTTATATTATATTATACTCGATACTAAAAAGCATTGTAAAGGGCTTCATAACAAGATCATCATGATCTTCTAGAAGTCCTGCGGCTAAATTTGTAATATGTTAAAGCTTATATTCTTAATATTGTTATTTAGCAAAAGAAAAAAAAAAAAAAATTATGTGTGTTTGAAGACAATTTTTTGCTTGTATGACGATTACAAATTTAGGAGAATTTTTAATTTTGGCCACCAGCTTTGAAAAAAATGCGGCTACCTTAAAATGCCCAACAGATGGCGTCTGGCGCCCAACTGATTTGGATTCCTCAAGTCAATTTCGGATACGAACCCTTAAAAACTTTATATATGTCTCAAAATGACGTACCAATACCAAATATTTGGATCAATTATAAAGTTTAAAATCTAAAAAGTTGTGTGTAAAAATGCACACTCCTCCTCCTGCTTTTTCAGATCCTCTTATTTCATAAATAACTTTTTAATTATTAATTTGAAAGTTAGAGTTATTTTCAATTTCTTTCCGGTGCCATGTTTCTGTTAGACATATAATTTGAAAATTCATAATGATGCTAAACAAAAATTCCTTAAGTTTATCAAATTTTTTTAATACTACTTATATTTAGATGCAGGATGGACAGTGCATTATCATCTATGTTAGCAGTTAGTCTTAAAACGTTTGAACTGTAATAATAAGAGCTTATATTTTCCATCCCTTCCCTAGCCTTATAAAAATATTGTTTTCTGAAATTATACTTTGTTTATTAGAAAAGCTTTAACTTTATTTTGTCATAATTTGTTATTTGCGTCTTCTCATCCCCTTTTAAGTTGTTCTCGAAGCTGTTTCCTTACAATTTTAGTTTCAGCACAGTAATCTTCATTTATATAAATATTTTTCCCTTTTAGTAGTTTAACAACTATTGGTCGAATTTTATGTGCGCTTTCAAGTTCAGTCCCTGTGAACTCTCTCAATTTTTATATTTTTTAAACCATGTATAAATTCAAAGAGTTTCTGCACCTTGGGTTCACTGACACTCCTATTTTCATTTTCGTTTTCCTTTTTGTATTCTATTTTTAGGTTGTTCCTTCTTAAGAGATTTCTAAGATAACTTTTTATTTTAATTATTTCACTATTGTTTTTCATTTTACTGTTTAACTCTTTAGTTTTTTTCTTTACAACTTCAAATTTATCCGTAATAATCTCTTCGTTAGTTTGAATAGCGTTGATATTATCGCTCAAATCAGCTGCAAAAAACATAACTTTTTTCTTTGTTGTTTCAAATTCAATTGCAATATAATTGATAATAGTTGAATTTTCGCTACCGACTTTTTCATTCTTTTTATCCACTCACTATGTATTTTCAAACTTGCTGCTACTATTGACGTGAATACCTTTTTGTAACCTTTTAATAGCTTTCTTGTTTCTTCTAGTCAGGCCCTATGAGAGCACCAGGGCCCAGAAGAGTTTAGGGGTCCTGGTACGGTGCACCTGGGCCCTTAAACTTTTAATTTAACATAAATTAAATGTTGAGCAAACAACATTTAATTTACGTTACCAAGTTCGCCATGAATCGCAATATGATATTGTAAAACAATTTTTGAAATTTGTAGATTGTAGTAACAAAAGATTGTAGTAACAAAATTGGTTCTGAAATTGCTCAAATGATTACAAAAACGAAAGTAATGCTATTACACTCCAATGTGAAAGTAATTCTATTACACTCGCTAATTGTAGGGTTCAAAGTTATGACAATCTATCAATTATGTCAGGCAAATACAAGGGAGCACAAGCAATACTAAAAAAACAGTGTCCTACTGCTATGTTTTCTTCTTGTGGCTGCCGCACACTTAAATTATGTGGTAATGATACTGCTGAGTGTATTCCGGAAGCCATAACCTATTTCGGAACTATGCAAACAATATACACCTTATTCTTTTTTAGTTCAAAGAGGTGGGAAATATTATCTAAGCATATTAGTTGTTCTCTTCACAATATATCTGGCACGAGGTGGTCAGATCAAATAGAGAGTGTCAAAATATTTGTAGTTCACCTTCCAGAAATAAAGCTGGCTTTGAAAGACTTGCACCAGCTAAACCTTACTCCAAAAACTAGGAACAAAATTCGTGGAGCGATTTGCTACACTAGTACCTTTACCTCCATTATAACATCAGTTTTGCGGAACAGAATATTATTTCCTATTGACATTTGCAACAAAGTCATTCATGCCAATAACGCAACTTTAGATATAGAGGTTTCAAATTTAGAAAGCTTACTTTCATAATTAGTAGTTATTCGTAAAAGTTGGAAAACAGTGTTAAATGAAAAGCTAAGCTTGTTGCACCTAGCTTTCTAATATAAAAATAAAAATTGTTTAGGAACAATAGCAGAAAACAACTCCACGATAAAAATGTGAGTAAAATGAGTGAGAAAGACATATATCCATCGGAATACCAATTCCGAAAGCGAATATTTTAATTAGTATTAGATAATGTTAATGGAAGACTTACAGTTCGTTTAAGCACCGCACAACAGATTTTTGAAACCTTCAGCTTTCTTTGTAACTACCAAAAAATGCTGGTTTTGCGAAAAAATATTCTAGAGGTATATTCAGCAAAGAAATTGTTCCAGAAATGAAACACATAACGGTGACTCACAAATCTAATTCCGAGACAAATCATTGGACGCACTAGAAAATAATAAATGTTTGGCAGAGTGCAAACTAAAAAGTATATCTACAAGCCTCGGTGTCAATTTGAGGATATTTTTTACAGCACTAGCAAGAGTAGTACCAGCAGAAAGGAGCTTCAACAAGCTTAAACTAATTAAAAATTATCTTATATATATATATACATATATTATATATAAATACCATGAATAAGAATTGCCTTAACGATCTGGCTGGGCTTAGTATTGAGTCTGACATTGCAAAACATATAGACTTTGAAATAGTAATACGTAATTTTGCGAAGAAAAAAACACACAAGGCAACTTGCTTTAATAAAATTATTTTATTTAATAACATTTCTATATAATATATAGATCTTCTATAAATTCTTCTGTGAAATAAAATTTAAAATTTTTTATTCAAAATCCTTTTATTTAAATGAATAATGAAAAGAGGAAAAAATTTTCAGAAATTATCTTTATATCCGTTTTTAATTTTTTATCGTTTATGTATTTAATAAAAAAGTATTTTTCTAGCAGTAAAAAACGCGTCCGTTCACCATTACGGGGCATTTTTCTAATGTCACAAGTATTTTTTACAAAAAATTAGCTGTGTAACCAAAAAAGTTAAATTTGTTAAAGTTAATTCATTTTTTGTTCCCTCTTAAACTACTCCGTTAAGCTTCTAATATTATTTGCTTACTTTTAGGTAACAACTTTGTAATATATAGTTATTTTACTAATATTCCAATAATAATCCAAAATTAAACATAATATTTATACTACCTTTCGTTCCTCAGTTTAGCTTGTTTTGCACAAATGAAAAGATCAATCATAGCTACATTATCAGCTCTGCCAAGCAACAGTTGTTTGCTTTTCCGAGAACCAATAAAAAGGTTGAATGAGGCTATTATTAACTTACTTATGTATATTTTAGCAGCTTTTGTTTTCTATTTTTATTTAACATTTGTCTAATGTGCTCTAAAAAGACCTAACGGTCTTGTTAAGAGCACCACGGAATAGCATTTAACTAGACATTTAATAGGACAATCGCGCCTTCTTTTTTACTGATGCCTGGAGCTCGCTTCGAAACTCAGATCTCTTGATTCTAAACCAAGCGTTTAAATTACTGCGCCATGCCTTCTAGCTTGATTTAAAAGCACTACGGAAGTTGCAACTCCCTCTGTTAAGAATAATTCTTAACAATTGCTAATTTTTATTTAATTGCAAATTTTTATAAATAATTCTACTTACATTGATTAAAAAAAGAACAAAGCAAATCCCAAATGGCAACGTTGTTTTTCCTTCACTATAAAAAAGCTTCCTGAAAACAGCATGAACTTTCATCATTTACACAAAACCTAAAATAAATAGTTATATAGCACTTCTTTTTTTATTAAATTTTATTTCATTTTTATTTATTTATATTATTTAAATCGTATAAGTTTATTCAAGCTGCAAGACATAATTTAAACAACCAAATAGCTAGGATAAGAAAAAGTTTTTTATCTTCTTATCATTTTTATCGCCAATTATTATCATTTTTATTACCAATCATTGTGATTCTTATCACCAATCATTATCAATCTAATCACCAAGACCTTTAATCTTTACCGTAAATGTAAAATAGCAAAAATTAAAATACAAAATATATTTTAAATACAATGATCATTTTAAATACAAAGAAAAATTTTTTTTGCCGGTTTTGTATTTGTCCGCGTTGAAAAATAGTGACTTTCTAAGTAATATTAAATAATAATAATTAAAATTTATGCGTCTTAAAATGTATTCCTCAAATAACTAAAAACAGTCAAGAAACTTAAAAATATCATCGTATATAAAACAAAACAAAAAATTTAATATTAATTCACCTCCCCAAGGCTGAGGAGGACACTAAAGTTGAGAATGCTACTTTAGTTGAGACTACAGTCCTCTCTCAGCTCTATAACTCCAAAACACCTCGACTAACCAGGCCGCTGCGCGAAAAAATAATTTAGGCGCGGTACTACCAGGGACGTGGTGGGGATCAAACCTGGAACTTCTTGCTTATGAGGCAGCGCTCTACCACTACACCACAACATCATTATTTTGATCTATAAATATTTTTAATTTTAGATCATTTTAGAATAAGTTTTGGTATAATATACCAAATTTTAAGCAATATTTTGGAGTTGGAACCAAACCTCTCCTGTGCCACCCTGGAAAAATCTAATGAGCGCCTATGCAACAAAGTTTCTCTGAAACAATAGATCAAAATTTTGAACATACATACTTTAATATGTGATTTTTTTTTGAAAATAATAATAACTTTGTGCAGGTGCTAAATAAACAATTTTGATCACTCTTTTGTGTATGCCGTCCCACTAATTGTTGGTAAGCACATTGCAGTACGCTACAGTTTTACCAATATAAAGGTGGCAGGCGCATAGCAATATGCCGTCTAATTGTTATTCAAAATAAGCATTTGTAGCCGCTTTAAGATAGTTAGATTTTTTAAGGTATTTAAATTGAAAAGTTTATATAATCTGAAAAATAAAGTGGTTGCTTTTATTGAAGTGGTTGCTTTTATTTTATTGAAATTTTATAGTTTTATAAAAGGCTTATAATTATATAACTATAAGCTACCAAATACACACTATTAAACACCAAATACACACTATTAAACACCAAATACACACTATTAACCACCAAATACACACTATTAAACACCAAATACAGACTATTAAACAATAAAATTGTGCGCTTCTGTTTAAAACCAATAAATGTAAATAAGCTGTTTTTTGTAATTAAATGTAATTACAACATATCTTTGACTTGTGATAACTTTGATAAAATAAAAAAGGTCTCAATGATAAAAAGGACTCCAAAAAAAAGGTTATTGATTTTAAAAAGCCCTCGGCTTTTGCGGTGGCATTTGCTCTTGATGACGGTGGGTAAAGACGACACTGATTGTATTTTTATGAGACTATCATAAACAATTTCACTGAAGAAAAGTATTTATATTTAAAGAAAAAGTATAAAAATTTAAAAAAGTAGATTCAAGCCTCAAAATAAGAGCTCAAATTACAGAAGGTCCTATATCGAAACGCTGTAGTTCCAACAACGGACCGCTATTGAAAATTTAGCGTTTTTCCACCATTGGTCTGCTGTCAAACTACCGTCAGCTTTTAGCCAACGAATCAATAAAATTTTGATGAGCAAGCTATCACGTAGCCACAATGGGGAGTCAATTTTGACGTCGCATGATTGCTAACTGCGTTCCTTTGTCGGTCCGACTACTTATTTTTTGCTGGGTATAAATAATAAAACAATTGTACAATTTGCAAATATTTTATTGAATGCAATTAGCATTTTCTGTAATGATTTAATTTAGAATTTCTTTTCTACTTATCAAAGCAAATTACATAAAATTCAATTGTAAACAAAAAAATACTTGCGAATAAATGGAAAATATTTCTCAATTGTTTTGAGTTGTTTCTTTTTGTGGTGTACCTAATTAAAAAAATATATTGGCTTAATATAGGGTGAATGGAAAAAATGTTTTACCAAATATAATCAATCCCTTAAAAATGAAAAGTATTCAAAAGACAACTTGCATATGGAACACATATGAGAATTGAAGAAAAAAACTTATGATTGAACATTAAATTGGTCCGTCAAGCACATTCGTATAATATTAAAAAATGTATAGCATTTCTACTAGTAAAAAATGAATTACACATGCAAACCTAACATGCAGGGCCGACAAGAGAGGGACAGCGGGACAGTTTGTCCCGGGCGGCAGATATCCAAGGGGCGCCAAATGAAATGTAGGTACTTAAAATGGAAAAAAAAAAAAAGTTCCTTCATATATAATATAGGAAAAATTTGATAAATAAGGGCGTCAATCTGGATTGCTGTCCCAGGCGGCGTGACAGCTCTCGGCTGCCGTGCTAACATGTTTAATATATAAATTTCTATATTCAGTTATGAAAATACTATAAAAATACTTTAAAAAATACTATAAAAATATTACTAAAAAATTATAAAAATAAGTGAGCTAAAAACTAATATAAGTTTGCTATAAAAAAAAATATATTTTTTAAAAATAGCAGAAGCTAATTTTTAAAATAGCATTCTAAAGAATGCTTTTGTAATAATGTCAACATATTTAACAAATATTTGGTAAGTCAACACTTTCTACAAACAGCAGATAAGAAGATTCTGACTTCCTGTAATTAAAGTTTTGGTATAAATTGCAGTTTTTTTAATTTTTGCTATATATATATATATATATATATATATATATATATATATATATATATATATATATATATATATATATATATATATTTATATATATATATATATATATATATACATATATATATATATATATATATATATAAATATATATATATATATATATATATATATATTTATATAATTTTGATGTAAAACTATAGGAACATATATATATATATATATATATATATATATATATATATATATATATATATATATATATATATATATATATATATATATATATATATATATATATATATGTTCCTATAGTTTTACATCAAAATTATCCGTTGTGGTAATAAACGGCTCTTTGCGTTTAAAGAGGAGAAAATCAAGTACACTTTAAAAGATGAAAAAGCCATCAAATTTATTTAATAAAACTAATTAAACTTTTTAAATTTTTAAAAAACAACAAAAACGCAAAAAATACTGGAATGTTTTTATAAACATTCAGAGTGCTTTTATTTATTAAAAAAATAAAAACAATGTGAATGTTTTTATATTCATTTTCTACTTTTAAAAACATTGACTGACAAATAGGTAGAACATGCAAGGAGTGCTGCTGCAACGGCTGGCAAATAGGTAAAACATGAGAGGAGTACTGCAACATTGACTGCACAAATAGGTAAAACATGTAATACAAGCGCTCCTCGCATGTTTTATCTTTTATCAGTCAATCTAGCGACTGAAAATTAGATAAAACATACGAAGATCGCTACTACATTGACTGACAAATAGGTAAACATGCGAGGAGTGCAACATCGACTGAAAAATAGGTAAAGTATGTTAAACCATAAAGTTAGTGCCTACGAGGACATAATCAAAACAAGTTGTCAAAAATTGCAAATAAAATTGTTTCTTTACTAACCGCGTGGTGACTGCATGAAACGCACTTCCATCAAATGCAGCCGACACAGTCTTGGTTAATGTTTCCAAAGAACCTATTGATGAAAAAAGTACAAATAATGGACACAACGGGTGTCTTTAAGCTCTCAGTATAGCAGTGTTTGGTTTCGCACTAGTTTATTAGAATTTTATAAGTTATACATTTTATTAAATATTTAATATAAATTTCCAAAATCTGAATAAACAAATTCAAATTCATATATAAATATATATATATATATATTATATATATATATATATATATATATATATATATATATATATATATATATATATATATATATATATATATATATATATATATATATATATATATATATAACAAAATTAATACCTGAGCTAACTAAAAATAAAAAAATGTTGGAAATATTTGTATTGAGAAATATGCAACTGAATTTCGTCAAATATCTTTTTAAATAAATCAACATTAAATATTATGTCAAAAAAAACAAGTTTTTTATTTTATTTATTTTAAAACAAAGGCATCTTAATAGCAAACCAACTCAATAAAAATCAACAGAAATCTTAATAAAAACAGTTATAACGGTTTACAAAAAAAGGTCTTTACAAAAAATGCTTTTTTTTTTTTTTTTTTGTTTATATGAATTCCTTCCTTTTTTTCTTCGGTGTTCATTTAATGGGAGCTTTACAAGTTGAAAAAAACTATGTTATAAGACAACTATGTTATCAAACAACTACGTTACAAAGCAAAGCCTCCAGGAGGTGAATAATAAATAAGACATATATAATATATAAAGATCAAACTTTCGTTAGATGAACGATTTGATATATTTTTTCATAAAAATATATAATATAAACTCATTTAATATAAAACTTTTATAAAATGTTCAATGAATAAAAAATTTGGAAGATAAAATATTTTATGTACAATGAATTAATAGAAATTAAACAAAAAAACCAAAAAAATTGAGATTTTAAATTCGATTTTCATTTAGAAATATTTATTTATATACTTTAAAAATTTCATATTTTGTCGCAAACTTAATGAAATTTAACGGTTTTACCCTATTTAAATTTTTTGCTTCACGAAAAGTGTTCCATAGTTTTATCCACGGTATGCTATTCCATATTTAGATTAAGTGCATTTTTTTCTTGGCAATGTCCATTAGTTTATTCTTAAAAAGTAATTTTTTGTTCAAATAATAAAATCCGTTAAACCCCAATAAAAGTCTTTTAGTTGTTCAAAAGATGTTTAAAAGATATCTTTTTTATGTCCATTGCCCACTGGGTATTATGTTTATTCATAAAAATTCAGTTCTGGTAAATATTGAGTTTATATATACTTATCATTTTCATGTCACTTATTAATGGCTTGAAATGATCATTTTTTTTTTTCTTTAAAATAATTCCAAATGGATTTTCTTTATAAAGAAAATATATTTAGTTTAGTCAGTTGAGTATTAGCTTATGTAGTATTGGAATAGTAAATAAAAAAATTTATTAAGTCGAAATATAGTAATGCATCCGTGGTGTAGTGGTTAGAATTCTAGAATTAAAGGTCTGTGGTTCGTATCTGACTGTGGCTATATATACATTGTTGGTTATGTAAGAGGCGTGAACTTTTGGGTTAAAGCTAATCCATGTGCTTTGTGAGAAGATCCTAATAACTGTTTGCAGCGCCTGAATAACTAAATAAAAAACAAGATATTCTTTCAGACATTGTTAAGTTACATGCGGACGAATTCGGTACAACATACCAATTGTTTCACTGAATTTTTGAATAAACATTATTCATATTGGAAGGTTTTTCAACAAAAGGTATAAGTTATTATATAAGTTTTCATCTATAACAATTTCTAAGATTTCTTATAAATAAAAATTAATTTATAGAAGAATAATATTTTGCAATTGGCGCATCATTTAAAATCAAATCGTAATTTTAAATACAGCTTTTTTTTTCGACATTTTATTAAAATCGTTTATTTTGTTTTATTCAGCTTTTATTCTTTAAGTGAGAACTTATTTGTCTAAAACTAATCATTAACATTATTTCAATATTCATACTGAAGTAAAGTTGCTTGATGTCGTTGAAATCTTAGTATCATTAGAAAACATTATTTCAATATTCATACTAAAGTAAAGTTGCTTGATGTCGTTGATTGAAAGCTTAGTATCATAAGAAAACATAAAACTTAGTTTGCAGATGCATTTTTATAAACATTTACATAAATTAAAAAAGATTGATCCTTGGGGAACTTCTGTCAAAATAACTAAATAATTAATAAATTATGTTTGCATAATTTATTCAATATTTTGTTATTAATAAACCCAACAAAAATTATCAACAACAACTAGGTTAAAGTTGCAAAAAAAACATTAAAAATCAATTCATTTCTTTAGTTTTTTTAATTTTATTTTCAGGTTAAAAAAATATCATTTTTAACTCAATAAGTTACAAGATTTTTTTAAATGTTTTCTTTGAGTTCCATTTGAATCTGTTTTACCGTGATATATGTGGCTAAATTCATATCTTCCAAAGTAATTTATTCATTTTTGAATCTTTAATTTATTCATTTTTGAATCTTTAATTTATTCATCTTTGAATCTTTAAATTTTGACCAAAAAAAATCACAACCAGAGCTTACTTAAAAAAAGATAATGAAAAAAAAAAGTTTGCAGAATCGAATTTACTTTTTGACAACGTAGACTGCAATTCCAAACATAGAGCCCCATATCCTATACCCCATGGCAGAGGGCAGCAATTTTAGCGGCCCCGTTTAAATTTTTAGGAGCCTTATTTAAAATTTGTTTTTAAAATAAGAGCTTTTTTTTGTTTTTTTGTTGTTGTTTTTTGCATAGTGGAAATTTTTAAAGATATTAGGTCCTTACTGACAGGGGTTTCCAACCTACTAGACACGGCACTGATAGACCGTCGTCAATGAACTATCACTTCAATAAAGCTCTTCAACTGACTTTGGAAAGACTTTGATAGAGACTATACAGAGGTGGAAAACTTTTTAAGTTTTTTACTACTGAGTAGCCGCAGACGAGCTCAGTATGACTACAGACCCATTGTCCTGCCAACTTTTTTGTTGAGAAAGGGTTATTTTTTTTACTTTTTATCTCCAAAGCAACTCTTTTATTTTAAACTCTCTGTTATTTCTGCTCAAAAGTGTTAACAATTTTATTATTTAAATTCATAAAAAGAACTCCACATTATCCACAAGAGAACTGATCTCTCATTAAAAGATATGCTAAATTGACACACAGATCCACCTCAGGATCGCGATGGTTTTTTAATTTAAGTTTATTGACTTATGTCAGTTATTATTACTTCTATTATAAACTCAGAATTTAAGACAAGTTTTGAGAACACAATTTTGCATACCTCGTTTTGTGTGTGTGTGTGTGTGTGTGTGTATTTTTCAAATATCTGGGAATATTTAGATAACATGTTGTTGTTTAAAATTACAAGATTTTATAACAAGACGAATCTATATAAAGTACAATATTTTTCTTTATATTAAGATCCATTTGGAGATAAATAATATTTTTGGTAACAAACAACGAAGTTTTAAAGAAAGATTTATATAGTAAAAAGGTTCTTCATAAAATCTGGGTTTTAGATTAAAATTATTTTAAATTAAATTTATACATCCGCGATTGAAGTAGCCCGATGTAATACACAGATCTCTTCAAACTGTGTAGAGAACCAATGCACTTTTCCAACATATTATTGATTCAAGGGACCTTAACTGGATCATTAAAAAAAAGTAAATGAGCTTCTTTATTTAAAAGATAACTGTCGGATGTTGTTCCATCTTTATCAATCGGCAAGTAATAATTCCCACCGTAAAAAATTTAAAAGATTATAGTATGGCAAGTATCAGGAAAATATTTGAAGTATCGTTGAAGTATACTTGACTACAACGGGAAACCTAGAAACTCTTGCTCAGAGCACGAGATTATAAAAAGAGATTGATAAAAGTTTTATCAAACTTTTATCAATCTCTGAAAACAAAAATTTTGGTTTAAGAGATTGTCTTGTAATCTTATCAGATTACAAGATCTCTAAAACTAATTCTACTCTCCTAGTCGCGGTTCTGGTGGAGAGTAAATTTTCTACTGTAATTTATTTAAAAGAATATGCCGGTAAGAACAAAAAAATTGTGCATACTGTGTGTGATGCGCAAAAGATGTTTCGGTAAAGGCAAAGGTCAGCCTTATTAACTTTACATATGCTCGGTAAGCAGCGTCATCAGATCAGAGAGCTTTTTACTATTTGAAATAGCCACATCTGGGTGGATGTACTTATAGATCTTGTAGGAACTCAAGCCCCTCTTGAGTATTACATTCAATGGGCCACAATATCGTAGTCACTGCTATTGAGCATCTGTGGAAGAACTGCAATGGCTTGCCGACATGAAACATGCAAAAGCACTGTAGAGGCGTGCTGACGCAACATCAAGTCCAAAAATAAATATGGCAACTCACATCAACTCCTAAAATTGGTCATAATTATGTACCGGTTAAATTGAGTTCTCTCCAACACCTTAAAATAGAACGTGTTTGTCTTTATTAGAGAAATCACAGAACACATTTTAAGTGGTTCTTAAGAAATGCTTAAAATATGTTCCGTGATCTCGCGAGAAAGGACAAACACCCTCCATGTTAACGTGATGGATATTTAGCCGGTACATTCTTTTTAGTTCGTAAACTGGACCAGACTAACCAACAAAATTCTTGATTGTTGAAAAATAAAAATTGTTGTTATACAGGCAACATAATAATTCGTCAAAAACAAAACTTGACTTAAAACCAGACTTAAAACCAGTTCTCAATTTGATACGAATAAAAAATATAAAACGTGTCTAAAATACTACTGTTAAACCTTGTTTTATTATCGGTTAATGCATCAACCAATTTTAAAACTTATTATAAACTTATACTAAACTCATACCCCATTAATGGACATTAATGCGTATTAATGGTATGAGTTTAGCATAAATTTATAATAAGTTTTAAAATATGAACTAAATGAATTGAAATTAGGAGGAATTTTAGAGCTATAAATGTTTAGGATGTCAGGGTGAAAATATAGAATGTCTTGATATTTATATTTTTGAAAAAATTGCATATATAGTTTTAGAGGTCAACTATAATCGATTGCAAATGAGTGTCATGAAAAGAAATACAAAATTAACATATGTTCTTATGAAAGAGTTATTCTTCAAGCTTGATGATATCGAACTTGATGATATCAAGGATACACCTTAAGCTTACTATGGTCGATCATGTATTTGTAAGTAATAGTTGCACATTAGTCTTAAGACTAATATACAATTAATACCTACAAATCTTAAAACCATTATAAACTTTTTAGTGTCATTGATGATGTATTCATTGATGATGTATTCATTGATTACATCATCATTAATAATATTGTCATTGATGATGTAG